TGAGCGTTTCCCCATGAAAGCACATGCTCTTCTTTTATTTTTCCCAGCTACTCAGCATGCCCTAAGCCCTTGTTTTTTGCATGGCTGGTTAGTGCATGCCATCTAGAGCCTGCATCGCAATTCTGAAGTCGAAAATCCAAAGGGGTGGGGAGCTATGGCATTTCAACATTTACCCCAAGTATGAATGTTTGAGCGTTTCCTCATGAAAGCACATGCTCTTCTTTTATTTTTCCCAGCTACTCAGCATGCCCTAAGCCCTTTTTTTTGCATGGCTGGTTAGTGCATGCCATCTAGAGCCTGCACCGCAATTCTCAAGTCGAAAATCCAAAGGGGTGGGGAGCTATAGCATTTCAACATTTGCCCCAAGTATGAGTATTTGAGCGTTTCCCCATGAAAGCACATGCTCTTCTTTTATTTTTCCCAGCTACTCAGTATGCCCTAAGCCCTTGTTTTTTGTACGGCTGGTTAGTGCATGCCATCTAGAGCCTGCACCGCAATTCTCAAGTCGAAAATCCAAAGGGGTGGGGAGCTATAGCATTTCAACATTTGCCCCAAGTATGAATGTTTGAGCGTTTCCCCATGAAAGCACATGCTCTTCTTTTATTTTTCCCAGCTACTCAGCATGCCCTAAGCCCTTGTTTTTTGCATGGCTGGTTAGTGCATGCCATCTAGAGCCTGCACCGCAATTCTCAAGTCGAAAATCCAAAGGGGTGGGGAGCTATAGCATTTCAACATTTGCCCCAAGTATGAATGTTTGAGCGTTTCCCGATGAAAGCACATGCTCTTCTTTTATTTTTCCCAGCTACTCAGCATGCCCTAAGCCCTTGTTTTTTGCATGGCTGGTTAGTGCATGCCATCTAGAGCCTGCACCGCAATTCTCAAGTCGAAAATCCAAAGGGGTGGGGAGCTATAGCATTTCAACATTTGCCCCAAGTATGAATGTTTGAGCGTTTTCCCATGAAAGCACATGCTCTTCTTTTATTTTTCCCAGCTACTCAGCATGCCCTAAGCCCTTTTTTTTTGCATGGCTGGTTAGTGCATGCGATCTAGAGCCTGCACCGCAATTCTCAAGTCGAAAATCCAAAGGGGTGGGGAGCTATAGCATTTCAACATTTGCCCCAAGTATGAATGTTTGAGCGTTTCCCCATGAAAGCACATGCTCTTCTTTTATTTTTCCCAGCTACTCAGCATGCCCTAAGCCCTTGTTTTTTGCATGGCTGGTTAGTGCATGCCATCTAGAGCCTGCACCGCAATTCTCAAGTCGAAAATCCAAAGGGGTGGGGAGCTATAGCATTTCAACATTTGCCCCAAGTATGAATGTTTGAGCGTTTCCCCATGAAAGCACATGCTCTTCTTTTATTTTTCCCAGCTACTCAGCATGCCCTAAGCCCTTGTTTTTTGCATGGCTGGTTAGTGCATGCCATCTAGAGCCTGCACCGCAATTCTCAAGTCGAAAATCCAAAGGGGTGGGGAGCTATAGCATTTCAACATTTGCCCCAAGTATGAATGTTTGAGCGTTTCCCGATGAAAGCACATGCTCTTCTTTTATTTTTCCCAGCTACTCAGCATGCCCTAAGCCCTTGTTTTTTGCATGGCTGGTTAGTGCATGCCATCTAGAGCCTGCACCGCAATTCTCAAGTCGAAAATCCAAAGGGGTGGGGAGCTATAGCATTTCAACATTTGCCCCAAGTATGAATGTTTGAGCGTTTCCCCATGAAAGCACATGCTCTTCTTTTATTTTTCCCAGCTACTCAGCATGCCCTAAGCCCTTGTTTTTTGCATGGCTGGTTAGTGCATGCCATCTAGAGCCTGCACCGCAATTCTCAAGTCGAAAATCCAAAGGGGTGGGGAGCTATAGCATTTCAACATTTGCCCCAAGTATGAGTATTTGAGCGTTTCCCCATGAAAGCACATGCTCTTCTTTTATTTTTCCCAGCTACTCAGTATGCCCTAAGCCCTTGTTTTTTGTACGGCTGGTTAGTGCATGCCATCTAGAGCCTGCACCGCAATTCTCAAGTCGAAAATCCAAAGGGGTGGGGAGCTATAGCATTTCAACATTTGCCCCAAGTATGAATGTTTGAGCGTTTCCCCATGAAAGCACATGCTCTTCTTTTATTTTTCCCAGCTACTCAGCATGCCCTAAGCCCTTGTTTTTTGCATGGCTGGTTAGTGCATGCCATCTAGAGCCTGCACCGCAATTCTCAAGTCGAAAATCCAAAGGGGTGGGGAGCTATAGCATTTCAACATTTGCCCCAAGTATGAATGTTTGAGCGTTTCCACATGAAAGCACACGCTCTTCTTTTATTTTTCCCAGCTACTCAGCATGCCCTAAGCCCTTTTTTTTTGCATGGCTGGTTAGTGCATGCGATCTAGAGCCTGCACCGCAATTCTCAAGTCGAAAATCCAAAGGGGTGGGGAGCTATAGCATTTCAACATTTGCCCCAAGTATGAATGTTTGAGCGTTTCCCCATGAAAGCACATGCTCTTCTTTTATTTTTCCCAGCTACTCAGCATGCCCTAAGCCCTTGTTTTTTGCATGGCTGGTTAGTGCATGCCATCTAGAGCCTGCACCGCAATTCTCAAGTCGAAAATCCAAAGGGGTGGGGAGCTATAGCATTTCAACATTTGCCCCAAGTATGAATGTTTGAGCGTTTCCCCATGAAAGCACATGCTCTTCTTTTATTTTTCCCAGCTACTCAGCATGCCCTAAGCCCTTGTTTTTTGCATGGCTGGTTAGTGCATGCCATCTAGAGCCTGCACCGCAATTCTCAAGTCGAAAATCCAAAGGGGTGGGGAGCTATAGCATTTCAACATTTGCCCCAAGTATGAATGTTTGAGCGTTTCCCCATGAAAGCACATGCTCTTCTTTTATTTTTCCCAGCTACTCAGCATGCCCTAAGCCCTTGTTTTTTGCATGGCTGGTTAGTGCATGCCATCTAGAGCCTGCATCGCAATTCTGAAGTCGAAAATCCAAAGGGGTGGGGAGCTATGGCATTTCAACATTTACCCCAAGTATGAATGTTTGAGCGTTTCCTCATGAAAGCACATGCTCTTCTTTTATTTTTCCCAGCTACTCAGCATGCCCTAAGCCCTTTTTTTTTGCATGGCTGGTTAGTGCATGCCATCTAGAGCCTGCACCGCAATTCTCAAGTCGAAAATCCAAAGGGGTGGGGAGCTATAGCATTTCAACATTTGCCCCAAGTATGAGTATTTGAGCGTTTCCCCATGAAAGCACATGCTCTTCTTTTATTTTTCCCAGCTACTCAGTATGCCCTAAGCCCTTGTTTTTTGTACGGCTGGTTAGTGCATGCCATCTAGAGCCTGCACCGCAATTCTCAAGTCGAAAATCCAAAGGGGTGGGGAGCTATAGCATTTCAACATTTGCCCCAAGTATGAATGTTTGAGCGTTTCCCCATGAAAGCACATGCTCTTCTTTTATTTTTCCCAGCTACTCAGCATGCCCTAAGCCCTTGTTTTTTGCATGGCTGGTTAGTGCATGCCATCTAGAGCCTGCACCGCAATTCTCAAGTCGAAAATCCAAAGGGGTGGGGAGCTATAGCATTTCAACATTTGCCCCAAGTATGAATGTTTGAGCGTTTCCCGATGAAAGCACATGCTCTTCTTTTATTTTTCCCAGCTACTCAGCATGCCCTAAGCCCTTGTTTTTTGCATGGCTGGTTAGTGCATGCCATCTAGAGCCTGCACCGCAATTCTCAAGTCGAAAATCCAAAGGGGTGGGGAGCTATAGCATTTCAACATTTGCCCCAAGTATGAATGTTTGAGCGTTTCCCCGATGAAAGCACATGCTCTTCTTTTATTTTTCCCAGCTACTCAGCATGCCCTAAGCCCTTTTTTTTTGCATGGCTGGTTAGTGCATGCGATCTAGAGCCTGCACCGCAATTCTCAAGTCGAAAATCCAAAGGGGTGGGGAGCTATAGCATTTCAACATTTGCCCCAAGTATGAATGTTTGAGCGTTTCCCCATGAAAGCACATGCTCTTCTTTTATTTTTCCCAGCTACTCAGCATGCCCTAAGCCCTTGTTTTTTGCATGGCTGGTTAGTGCATGCCATCTAGAGCCTGCACCGCAATTCTCAAGTCGAAAATCCAAAGGGGTGGGGAGCTATAGCATTTCAACATTTGCCCCAAGTATGAATGTTTGAGCGTTTCCCCATGAAAGCACATGCTCTTCTTTTATTTTTCCCAGCTACTCAGCATGCCCTAAGCCCTTGTTTTTTGCATGGCTGGTTAGTGCATGCCATCTAGAGCCTGCACCGCAATTCTCAAGTCGAAAATCCAAAGGGGTGGGGAGCTATAGCATTTCAACATTTGCCCCAAGTATGAATGTTTGAGCGTTTCCCGATGAAAGCACATGCTCTTCTTTTATTTTTCCCAGCTACTCAGCATGCCCTAAGCCCTTGTTTTTTGCATGGCTGGTTAGTGCATGCCATCTAGAGCCTGCACCGCAATTCTCAAGTCGAAAATCCAAAGGGGTGGGGAGCTATAGCATTTCAACATTTGCCCCAAGTATGAATGTTTGAGCGTTTCCCGATGAAAGCACATGCTCTTCTTTTATTTTTCCCAGCTACTCAGCATGCCCTAAGCCCTTTTTTTTTGCATGGCTGGTTAGTGCATGCGATCTAGAGCCTGCACCGCAATTCTCAAGTCGAAAATCCAAAGGGGTGGGGAGCTATAGCATTTCAACATTTGCCCCAAGTATGTGTTGGGATTAAGGACGGAGTCTAGGTGAACTTAGGAGCTAGAATTACTCAAAATATAAATCCGAAATTCTGGACAGAAAAGTCGTCTTCACAAGAAACGACGTCGACAAACAACTAGCCGTTGGAATGTCGCGAAACTTGGATATGTTGTAGCTCTTAATCTCAGCTACCGTTCCCAATTTGAATCATGTTGATTGATAAAGTATTCGCGACGCTATGGCTTTCGACGCACTAGGGGGTAAGCTGTAGGAGGAGAACTTAACTCAATCTCAAAGGTTCAATCAAAGTTCAAGAATCTCACAAGGAATTAGAAGGAGCAAGAGAAAGGTTGGGATAGGAAGAGAGGGATGAGAGGGAAGGTCCCAAGAGAGTCCCCAACCAAGGAAACCCCATAAGCACAAAGATTCCCTCCCTATAGGAACCCCAACTTTTACATTTGTCCCTTCCCAATCAATCCATCCAAGTTGGCCACCCTTGCCAACCTAGCTTGGTTGTTCCCAACCAATTTGCAGCTGTTACAGTAGAGTGACGAATTTCCCCAACCCCAAAGGTCCCAACTCCATATAGAGTCACCCCACAACTTCACTTTGTAACCGCCGCAATTGTAACGCAAGCTCATGAACTTTGAATCTTCATAGCTTTCGCGTTCTTGCTCCGATTGAAGCGATTCTTGTTGCGTCGGAAAGATCTTCTCAAGATCTATCATCACAAATACCTGCTCAAACAAAAATAACACAGAACACATTCCCAAACTCCAGAACACACACCACACAAATGCTTGCACATTCAAACCACACATGCAAGTTGAAAACATGGGATGGGAGGCAGACAGAATGTGATAGCATATGATGACATCACACAACAATCTCCCCCTCTGGCTGCCAACCATCATCCACCATACCACATCTCAAGCATGCATACTCAATGCACACTCATCCCAGCAAGCTTCATGCCCTTCCAATGATCCGCCTCCGCCAGACGCTTGGTGAAAATATCTGCTGCCTGCTGATGGGTCTTCACTATCTCCAGCCGCACCTCCTTATCAAGGAGTCTCCTCACCCAATGCCACTTAGGCCTTATGTGTTTTGTCAGCCCATGCAGACAAGCATTCTTGGCGAGCTTCACAGCGGACTCATTGTCACAAAACACAACTGTCGGCTTCTCCTGACCAACTCCCAACTCCTCCAACAAGCGCCTCAGCCACACCACTTCCTTGGCCCCATGGTGTAAGGCCATGTACTCAGTCTCACATGAGGACAATCCCACCTCATTCTGCTTCTTGCTGCGCCAGCTCACAGCACCACCTCCTAGCAAGCACACATATCCCCCAATGCTGGTGCCATCCGCTTTCACTGAGTTGAAGCTAGCGTCAGTATAGCAACTCAAGAGCATCTCTCCACTCTTCACATCTGCAGCACCTCTCTGCAACCGCTGCCTCACTCCACTGTACTCCAATCCCACTGATGCCGTAGCACTCACATAGCGGACCAACCTCTTGGCCGCTTCCAGCTGCTCATGACTAGGGCGTGAGACCACACTAGCCAACCGTGATGTAGAAAATGCAATGTCAGGCCGTGTATGATTTGCAGCATAATTCAGCGACCCAACCATCGAATGAAACAGCTTCCTGTCACTCTCACCCACTACCTCCTCATCAGCACATGGCTCCACAGTAAACCCTGAAGGTAGTGGTGTTGCTGGCTTTCCCCCATCTTGCAGCCCATACTTCTCAGCCAGCCCCTCACAGTACTTCCTCTGGTGCAACCTCAGCACACCCTTCTCCACATCTCTCTCCACATGCATCCCCAAGTAGTACTTCACCTCACCCATCTTGGAACACTTGAACTGCATCTCTAGCATCTGCTCTGCGCTGTCCAGCAAAGCAGTTGATGCAGAAAAGAGAAGGATATCATCCACATACACCAAGAGCATGAGGATTTCATCCTTCTCCTGCAGCAGGAACAGGCTGGGGTCACACTCACTCTTCTTGAAACCCCCAGCCAGCAGCGCCTCCTCCAACTTGTGATACCATGCACGAGGCGCCTGCTTAAGGCCATAGATGGCCTTCTTCAGCCTGCAGACCCTGCCGCTCCCATCATCCAGCCCCTCTGGCTGCTTCATGTACACCTCCTCCAGAATGATCCCATTCAGAAAGGCAGTCACAATGTCCATCTGCCGTATCTTCCATCCCAGGAGTGCAGCCATCGCCAATAGCACCCTCAATGTTGTTCCTTTCCCCACAGGAGCAAACACCTCATCATAGTCCTTCCCCTTTGTCTGCTGAAACCCCCTTGCCACAAGCCTAGACTTGTAGCGGGTCAGCTCCCCTTCAGGTCCATACTTGTGCCTGTAGATCATCTTGGAAGTGATTGCCTTCTTCCCAGGAGGCAAGTCACACAGGTCCCATGTCTCGTTTTCAATCAGGGACCCGAACTCCTCATCCTCACTCGCCTTCCACTTCTCCCCATTTGGTCCATTCAAGGCCTCTTCTCGAGTCTTGGGCTCAGGGATTGGTGCCCAGTAGCAGTGAGCGATCTCATCTTCCTCAATCTGCTCAACCACACTCCCAGCCTGCACCACATTTGGCTTGCCTCTTCCCCCATAGGTCAGCCTCACAGGAGGGCGCACATCCCTCCTAGGTCGCTCAGGCGGCTGTGGAACTCGAGGTGGAGACTCATGTTGCTGTTGCTGCTCCACTTCAGCTGCTCCCCCTTCTTCAGTCACCCCAGATATCTCCTCCTCAGACACTGCAACCTCCACCTGCCTTGAAGGCTGCTGCACCTCATCTGCCTCCACAATGAGCGGTGTAGATGGAAGCTTCTGTTGCTGCTGCTTCCATTCCTTGTAGTACAGGAACTCAAGAAACTTCACATCCCTTGACACTGTCAGCTTCTGGGTGGTCAAGTCCCATAGCAGCCACCCCTTGTGATCCTTTGCAATCCCCAAGTGCACACCCCATCTTCCAGAAGCCTCCAATTTCCCCCTTTTCTCCTTAGGCACATGAAACACCACCATGCACCCAAATGCCCTCAGCATGTTCACAGCTGGAGCCCTCCCATACCACTTGGTATATGGGATCCACTCCTTATCTCCAACTGTAGCCAGCACCCTGTTCTTCACAAGGGCGACCTGCCTCAGTGCAGACACCCAAAACGGATCAGGCAGCCCTGCACGCCCAAGGAGAGTGCGTGCCCCCTCCTGCAGGGTCCTGTTGAACCTCTCAGCCACGCCATTCTGCTGCGGATTGTAGGGCACTGTCAGTTGATGCTGGATCCCCTTCCTCTTCAACTCCCCCTCAAAATCAGCTCCAATGAACTCCCCACCATTGTCACTGCGGATCACCTTCACCTTGTATCCGCATTCCCTCTGAGCTCTAGGCATCCACTCCTTAAGGACAGCCGCTGCCACCTCCCCCTTGCTGTTCAAAGGGTAAACCCACACTGCCCGAGTGTGGTCATCCACAATTGTCAAGAAATAGCGGCTGCCTGAGAGGGAAGGGGCTCTTGTGGGCCCCACCACATCCATGTGCACAAGTGCAAGTGGGGTCTTGGCTGGTCCTGTAGCACTGTTGAAGGGGAACTTGGAGAACTTGGTCTCCAAGCATGTAGGGCAGCTCCCAATCTCCTTCACTTCCCCTTTCACCTCCAAGCCCTTCAGGCTCCCATTCTTCACCAACTTCTGCAGCATAGGGAAGTTCACATGACACAACCTCTCATGCCATGTCTCCCAATCGGCCTCTCCACTCCTTGATGAAGCCTTAGCCCATGCCGCACTCGCATCCACACCAGCAAGCACCTCACTATGTGTCTGCTGCTGGTGCACTTTCTTGACTGCTTCCAGGACCCCATGAGTTGGTGCAGTTGCATCTCCTCCTGCTGTTGCCTTTGCCGCTGCTGCCGTTGCTGTTGTTGGAGTCTTCCCATTCCAAGGGATGATGGGCAGCTGCCACAGGTCCTTGATGCAGCTGGTCTCCTCTTCCAGACTCCACAGCACCTTCTTCCCAAGCTTAGCACGGCAGCTGGTTGGTCCAAAGGTCACTTCGGCCTTACTCTTCTGCAGTCGCCGCACAGAGAGAAGGTTAGCAGACAAGCCTTTAACCAGCAGAACATTCCCAAGCCCCACAAGCTCCCCATTAGCTCCCTTAACCTTGGCATTCCCAACGCCAATCACAGGGAGCAAAGCACCTGACGCTGCTGCCACATACTTGATCTTCCCAGGGGGTTTTACCTCATCAAGCAAATCTGCCCGTGGAGTCATGTGACTGGTGCAACCCGAATCAATCACCCAGTGCATGAGAGGATGCATCACAACCTTTCCCACAGATCCCACATCACCCTCATGCCCATGCACATCCTCAACCATGAGATACATCCCAGGATAGGCGTTACCTTGTGCACCTTCACCTTGTGCACCTGAGCCTTGCACAGCGCCACCTTGTGCGCGTTCACCACTTGGCGGCTTCATGCCTGGAGGTGCCCATCCCTCCGGCCTGCTGAAGCACTTGAACCAAGGATGCCCGACCTTCTTGCAGTACCAGCAGGTGCCCTCCATTCTGGTACTCCCCCTGCCACTGGAGCTCCCATGCCCCTCATTATAGTCACCTCGGCCTCTACCTCTGCCAAAGCTTCTCCCACGGCCTCGGCCTCTCCAACCCCCTCTTCCTCTGCCGCGCCCTGCAGCTCCATACCCCTCAGCAGTCTTAGTGGCAGCACCGCCTCCCACATGGCGTCTGCGGAAGTCCTCCTGCAGAATCTGGTGCCTTAGCCACTCAGGTGTCCATTGATCTTGCTGAGAGTTGAGGGTGGGGATGAGGTTGTCCCAAGAGTTGTCCAACACCGAGATGATCTTGGTGCACTGCTGCAGCTGAGATACACTGCTGCCCGCTGCTGCCATCCTTGCATAGGTGTCCTTGATCTTGTCAAGGACCGGCTTCACATCGTCCCCTGGTCGCATGGAGATGGCAGCAAGTTCCTTCTCGAGCACGATCACCATCGGGAGAGTGTTGGGCTGAATCACATCGCGTAGTAGTTTCCACGCCCTTGGACCCGAATCATCCGCTTCCACAAGATCCTTGATGTGTTCGAACATCTCCTTGTTGACCGATTGAAGGATGAGGTCGAAAAGCACCGTGCTTTTCTCAATCCACCGTTCACGTGCTTCGCCTTCTTCCGGCATCTTCTCTTCCCCAACAGCAATCTTCAGTAGCTTGTAGCGTTTGAAGGCACTCCTCATCCGTCCGCTCCATTCCTCATAGTTGGAGCCATCCAAAGCTTCAACTTTTGATGGCGGCGGCTCACTTGCCTTCTCAGCTACAGCTCCTCTTCCATTCGCATCTCCTCCTCTCTCATTCATCTTCTCCTTGAGAAATGACGAATTTCAGCCCCCCTTTGCTGTCCACACTCAGCTCCCTCGATATTTTCACAAGTATCGGCGTCCACGAAATTTCGGCAGAGTTTCCCTTAGCGGAAGACACATCCAACCTTTAGAACACCACTTAGGCACACCCACAGGCCATGGTGGGTCTAGAAGGGTCTTCACACTTCTGTAGACTCCTCTCAATGTCCTTAATATTGCTCTGATACCACTTGTTGGGATTAAGGACGGAGTCTAGGTGAACTTAGGAGCTAGAATTACTCAAAATATAAATCCGAAATTCTGGACAGAAAAGTCGTCTTCACAAGAAACGACGTCGACAAACAACTAGCCGTTGGAATGTCGCGAAACTTGGATATGTTGTAGCTCTTAATCTCAGCTACCGTTCCCAATTTGAATCATGTTGATTGATAAAGTATTCGCGACGCTATGGCTTTCGACGCACTAGGGGGTAAGCTGTAGGAGGAGAACTTAACTCAATCTCAAAGGTTCAATCAAAGTTCAAGAATCTCACAAGGAATTAGAAGGAGCAAGAGAAAGGTTGGGATAGGAAGAGGGGGATGAGAGGGAAGGTCCCAAGAGAGTCCCCAACCAAGGAAACCCCATAAGCACAAAGATTCCCTCCCTATAGGAACCCCAACTTTTACATTTGTCCCTTCCCAATCAATCCATCCAAGTTGGCCACCCTTGCCAACCTAGCTTGGTTGTTCCCAACCAATTTGCAGCTGTTACAGTAGAGTGACGAATTTCCCCAACCCCAAAGGTCCCAACTCCATATAGAGTCACCCCACAACTTCACTTTGTAACCGCCGCAATTGTAACGCAAGCTCATGAACTTTGAATCTTCATAGCTTTCGCGTTCTTGCTCCGATTGAAGCGATTCTTGTTGCGTCGGAAAGATCTTCTCAAGATCTATCATCACAAATACCTGCTCAAACAAAAATAACACAGAACACATTCCCAAACTCCAGAACACACACCACACAAATGCTTGCACATTCAAACCACACATGCAAGTTGAAAACATGGGATGGGAGGCAGACAGAATGTGATAGCATATGATGACATCACACAACAGTATGAATGTTTGAGCGTTTCCCCATGAAAGCACATGCTCTTCTTTTATTTTTCCCAGCTACTCAGCATGCCCTAAGCCCTTGTTTTTTGCATGGCTGGTTAGTGCATGCCATCTAGAGCCTGCACCGCAATTCTCAAGTCGAAAATCCAAAGGGGTGGGGAGCTATAGCATTTCAACATTTGCCCCAAGTATGAATGTTTGAGCGTTTCCCCATGAAAGCACATGCTCTTCTTTTATTTTTCCCAGCTACTCAGCATGCCCTAAGCCCTTGTTTTTTGCATGGCTGGTTAGTGCATGCCATCTAGAGCCTGCACCGCAATTCTCAAGTCGAAAATCCAAAGGGGTGGGGAGCTATAGCATTTCAACATTTGCCCCAAGTATGAATGTTTGAGCGTTTCCCGATGAAAGCACATGCTCTTCTTTTATTTTTCCCAGCTACTCAGCATGCCCTAAGCCCTTTTTTTTTGCATGGCTGGTTAGTGCATGCGATCTAGAGCCTGCACCGCAATTCTCAAGTCGAAAATCCAAAGGGGTGGGGAGCTATAGCATTTCAACATTTGCCCCAAGTATGAATGTTTGAGCGTTTCCCCATGAAAGCACATGCTCTTCTTTTATTTTTCCCAGCTACTCAGCATGCCCTAAGCCCTTGTTTTTTGCATGGCTGGTTAGTGCATGCCATCTAGAGCCTGCACCGCAATTCTCAAGTCGAAAATCCAAAGGGGTGGGGAGCTATAGCATTTCAACATTTGCCCCAAGTATGAATGTTTGAGCGTTTCCCCATGAAAGCACATGCTCTTCTTTTATTTTTCCCAGCTACTCAGCATGCCCTAAGCCCTTGTTTTTTGCATGGCTGGTTAGTGCATGCCATCTAGAGCCTGCACCGCAATTCTCAAGTCGAAAATCCAAAGGGGTGGGGAGCTATAGCATTTCAACATTTGCCCCAAGTATGAATGTTTGAGCGTTTCCCCATGAAAGCACATGCTCTTCTTTTATTTTTCCCAGCTACTCAGCATGCCCTAAGCCCTTGTTTTTTGCATGGCTGGTTAGTGCATGCGATCTAGAGCCTGCACCGCAATTCTCAAGTCGAAAATCCAAAGGGGTGGGGAGCTATAGCATTTCAACATTTGCCCCAAGTATGAATGTTTGAGCGTTTCCCCATGAAAGCACATGCTCTTCTTTTATTTTTCCCAGCTACTCAGCATGCCCTAAGCCCTTGTTTTTTGCATGGCTGGTTAGTGCATGCCATCTAGAGCCTGCACCGCAATTCTCAAGTCGAAAATCCAAAGGGGTGGGGAGCTATAGCATTTCAACATTTGCCCCAAGTATGAATGTTTGAGCGTTTCCCCATGAAAGCACATGCTCTTCTTTTATTTTTCCCAGCTACTCAGCATGCCCTAAGCCCTTGTTTTTTGCATGGCTGGTTAGTGCATGCCATCTAGAGCCTGCACCGCAATTCTCAAGTCGAAAATCCAAAGGGGTGGGGAGCTATAGCATTTCAACATTTGCCCCAAGTATGAATGTTTGAGCGTTTCCCCATGAAAGCACATGCTCTTCTTTTATTTTTCCCAGCTACTCAGCATGCCCTAAGCCCTTGTTTTTTGCATGGCTGGTTAGTGCATGCCATCTAGAGCCTGCACCGCAATTCTCAAGTCGAAAATCCAAAGGGGTGGGGAGCTATAGCATTTCAACATTTGCCCCAAGTATGAATGTTTGAGCGTTTCCCGATGAAAGCACATGCTCTTCTTTTATTTTTCCCAGCTACTCAGCATGCCCTAAGCCCTTTTTTTTTGCATGGCTGGTTAGTGCATGCGATCTAGAGCCTGCACCGCAATTCTCAAGTCGAAAATCCAAAGGGGTGGGGAGCTATAGCATTTCAACATTTGCCCCAAGTATGAATGTTTGAGCGTTTCCCCATGAAAGCACATGCTCTTCTTTTATTTTTCCCAGCTACTCAGCATGCCCTAAGCCCTTGTTTTTTGCATGGCTGGTTAGTGCATGCCATCTAGAGCCTGCACCGCAATTCTCAAGTCGAAAATCCAAAGGGGTGGGGAGCTATAGCATTTCAACATTTGCCCCAAGTATGAATGTTTGAGCGTTTCCCCATGAAAGCACATGCTCTTCTTTTATTTTTCCCAGCTACTCAGCATGCCCTAAGCCCTTGTTTTTTGCATGGCTGGTTAGTGCATGCCATCTAGAGCCTGCACCGCAATTCTCAAGTCGAAAATCCAAAGGGGTGGGGAGCTATAGCATTTCAACATTTGCCCCAAGTATGAATGTTTGAGCGTTTCCCCATGAAAGCACATGCTCTTCTTTTATTTTTCCCAGCTACTCAGCATGCCCTAAGCCCTTGTTTTTTGCATGGCTGGTTAGTGCATGCGATCTAGAGCCTGCACCGCAATTCTCAAGTCGAAAATCCAAAGGGGTGGGGAGCTATAGCATTTCAACATTTGCCCCAAGTATGAATGTTTGAGCGTTTCCCCATGAAAGCACATGCTCTTCTTTTATTTTTCCCAGCTACTCAGCATGCCCTAAGCCCTTGTTTTTTGCATGGCTGGTTAGTGCATGCCATCTAGAGCCTGCACCGCAATTCTCAAGTCGAAAATCCAAAGGGGTGGGGAGCTATAGCATTTCAACATTTGCCCCAAGTATGAATGTTTGAGCGTTTCCCCATGAAAGCACATGCTCTTCTTTTATTTTTCCCAGCTACTCAGCATGCCCTAAGCCCTTGTTTTTTGCATGGCTGGTTAGTGCATGCCATCTAGAGCCTGCACCGCAATTCTCAAGTCGAAAATCCAAAGGGGTGGGGAGCTATAGCATTTCAACATTTGCCCCAAGTATGAATGTTTGAGCGTTTCCCCATGAAAGCACATGCTCTTCTTTTATTTTTCCCAGCTACTCAGCATGCCCTAAGCCCTTGTTTTTTGCATGGCTGGTTAGTGCATGCCATCTAGAGCCTGCACCGCAATTCTCAAGTCGAAAATCCAAAGGGGTGGGGAGCTATAGCATTTCAACATTTGCCCCAAGTATGAATGTTTGAGCGTTTCCCGATGAAAGCACATGCTCTTCTTTTATTTTTCCCAGCTACTCAGCATGCCCTAAGCCCTTTTTTTTTGCATGGCTGGTTAGTGCATGCGATCTAGAGCCTGCACCGCAATTCTCAAGTCGAAAATCCAGAGGGGTGGGGAGCTATAGCATTTCAACATTTGCCCCAAGTATGAATGTTTGAGCGTTTCCCCATGAAAGCACATGCTCTTCTTTTATTTTTCCCAGCTACTCAGCATGCCCTAAGCCCTTGTTTTTTGTACGGCTGGTTAGTGCATGCCATCTAGAGCCTGCACCGCAATTCTCAAGTCGAAAATCCAAAGGGGTGGGGAGCTATAGCATTTCAACATTTGCCCCAAGTATGAATGTTTGAGCGTTTCCCCATGAAAGCACATGCTCTTCTTTTATTTTTCCCAGCTACTCAGCATGCCCTAAGCCCTTGTTTTTTGCATGGCTGGTTAGTGCATGCCATCTAGAGCCTGCACCGCAATTCTCAAGTCGAAAATCCAAAGGGGTGGGGAGCTATAGCATTTCAACATTTGCCCCAAGTATGAATGTTTGAGCGTTTCCCGATGAAAGCACATGCTCTTCTTTTATTTTTCCCAGCTACTCAGCATGCCCTAAGCCCTTTTTTTTTGCATGGCTGGTTAGTGCATGCGATCTAGAGCCTGCACCGCAATTCTCAAGTCGAAAATCCAAAGGGGTGGGGAGCTATAGCATTTCAACATTTGCCCCAAGTATGAATGTTTGAGCGTTTCCCCATGAAAGCACATGCTCTTCTTTTATTTTTCCCAGCTACTCAGCATGCCCTAAGCCCTTGTTTTTTGCATGGCTGGTTAGTGCATGCCATCTAGAGCTTGCACCGCAATTCTCAAGTCGAAAATCCAAAGGGGTGGGGAGCTATAGCATTTCAACATTTGCCCCAAGTATGAATGTTTGAGCGTTTCCCCCATGAAAGCACATGCTCTTCTTTTATTTTTCCCAGCTACTCAGCATGCCCTAAGCCCTTGTTTTTGCATGGCTGGTTAGTGCATGCGATCTAGAGCCTGCACCGCAATTCTCAAGTCGAAAATCCAAAGGGGTGGGGAGCTATAGCATTTCAACATTTGCCCCAAGTATGAATGTTTGAGCGTTTCCCCATGAAAGCACATGCTCTTCTTTTATTTTTCCCCAGCTACTCAGCATGCCCTAAGCCCTTGTTTTTTGCATGGCTGGTTAGTGCATGCCATCTAGAGCCTGCACCGCAATTCTCAAGTCGAAAATCCAGAGGGGTGGGGAGCTATAGCATTTCAACATTTGCCCCAAGTATGAATGTTTGAGCGTTTCCCCATGAAAGCACATGCTCTTCTTTTATTTTTCCCAGCTACTCAGCATGCCCTAAGCCCTTGTTTTTTGCATGGCTGGTTAGTGCATGCCATCTAGAGCCTGCATCGCAATTCTCAAGTCGAAAATCCAAAGGGGTGGGGAGCTATGGCATTTCAACATTTGCCCCAAGTATGAATGTTTGAGCGTTTCCCCATGAAAGCACATGCTCTTCTTTTATTTTTCCCAGCTACTCAGCATGCCCTAAGCCCTTGTTTTTTGCATGGCTGGTTAGTGCATGCCATCTAGAGCATGCACCGCAATTCTCAAGTCGAAAATCCAGAGGGGTGGGGAGCTATAGCATTTCAACATTTGCCCCAAGTATGAATGTTTGAGCGTTTCCCCATGAAAGCACATGCTCTTCTTTTATTTTTCCCAGCTACTCAGCATGCCCTAAGCCCTTGTTTTTTGTACGGCTGGTTAGTGCATGCCATCTAGAGCCTGCACCGCAATTCTCAAGTCGAAAATCCAAAGGGGTGGGGAGCTATAGCATTTCAACATTTGCCCCAAGTATGAATGTTTGAGCGTTTCCCCATGAAAGCACATGCTCTTCTTTTATTTTTCCCAGCTACTCAGCATGC